CGGCTCCCCGCCGGCGCCGCCGAGAGGGGCTGGGGCAAGCGCAGGGCACCTTGCCCTCACCCAAGATGGCGCCGCGAGCTCCCCGGCCTGCCTGCAGCCGGCGTCGCGGCCGGCCTCAAATAAGTACGTGTTTTACTCCCGAAAAGCCTTTAAGGAGCAAAGCCCTTACATTAGATCAGACAGGTCAGAGGCGAGTCACAAGGGTGTAACTTCAGCAGGGAAGCAGGAGCCGGCGTGGCTTGATGCATGTTGGGTGGATGGAGTCCGGCCAACAAAAAGGGGCCGCCTTCAACCCGTCCGTGCTAAAGGCGAGCAAGCATCCTCCCTGCTTGCCCCGAGGTGCTGCCTACTTCCGAGCAGTAGCCCTCACCGTGGGCTCTAGCTTCTCTCCCTGGTGCAGCAATACTCCTGACAGGGCTCAAACAAATGGATTTCTGACAATTATGAAGACTATACTGTGATGTATTAAAGCTTTGCTTGTGCTTTGCTTCATTTGTTTCTCAAGGACTCCTGAGCCTCAACGGTTTCCTGAGGTCCTTTCGTCTGTTTAGGTAAGATTGAAACGCTCGTCAGGTTCCCTACAGAAATCACTGACAGCAGACTCAAGGCTTGACTTAAGGCTTACAATGGACACTTGGGTAACACCCATAACAGGAAAACTAAGATAAGGGGGACTCCAGACAAAAGAGACCCCATCATAGAGAGGATGATTCTGCTAATACAGGGAGAAGGCACCTGGACTTCACAGTGCATACTCTTGAAAGGTCAACTAGCAAACACTGTGAAGACCACATACTTCTTCCCTCGAAAACCAAAGACCCTCACTTTATTTTCACTGTGCATGCTCGGACTGTGTAAATGAATTCCAGGAACTCATTATCATAAGACAGCCCTTTCCAGGAAATCTAATGAGTATGTGTAATTTATGTGTATGCAAACTGATGTCCCTTGCTAGTTCTTGGGAGCCCTTATGGTGAATGCCCAGGGCGACCCCAGTGCTGCTAAAAAAGAATACTGGCTTAACAGTAAAAAAAACTTTACTGTTGACTCAATTTCTTTGTTTCACTCCCCAACAGCATGGGGAAGACTTCCCTTCTCTCCACCTACTACCAACAGCTGGCTCCTACTGTAATTTACTTGTCTAAACAATTTCACAAGATCTGTAAAGCAGGAGTAAGCCAAAGAGAGGTCAAAGGGCCTTAGTGCACCTGCATCATCCATCACCTTGGAACCTACTTTAAGTAATAACCCCATTAACGGGTGATGCTGTTCTCAGATCCCAATCCTGCTAGTTAAATAAAAGCCCAAGGAAATTCTGTTCTGGTAGATGTCACAGTGAGTTCCTCGAGGCAGATCGCCTTCCAGGAGATGCAAATCAGGAACATGACCTACCTTCAGTAACCAGTGTCTTTTTCTACTTTCAGATGGCTGTGTGAAGAACAAAATAAATGAAGTCATTCTTCATGGCCAGCTTAAATAATCAAGCTTGTAAATGAGCAGTGTTTGTACACTTTACTTCTCTTGCCCTCACTTTATGCAGTGTGTTGTTTTACAAAACACAAACTAGTACCATGTAACTAAAAAATATTTTTTTTTAAAATGACCACAACCACCATATAATTTGCTGCTGTACTGCACTAATATCTCTCACTCCTGAAGCGATTTGATTATTTGAGAAATACATCTCAAAATTACTATTTCCTTAAATTCCAAGCATTTTGAATGGAAAAAGGTGTCAATTAGTTCCCTGTAGTTCAAAGTTTCCCTTTAAATACCAGATAAAATTTAGTTATTCTAGACATGCAGTCACCTGAACAGGGAAATTATTTTCCTCAGTGCAGGATTAAGCATTTAAAAAAAAAAACCACACAACAAATCACAGCACCTTCCTCTTCAGAACAGCGTAATATCAAGGTCTATCTGCCTACTACTAAGAAAATTATCTAATACTCTAAATAAAGCCTGAATTCAAAATATTATGCACTCTTTCCAAATTACACCAAGTCCCATGAACTCTGATTCTCTGCAGGGCCTAAGTATATCGGGGTGTGAGGAAGTGGGCAAACCCCGCCCCCCTCAACATTTACAGCAATTACAGCAAATCCAGGTATCTGAAAGGCAGCACTTTCCTTGGAGCACAACAGTTTCCATAGAATACACAGAACAGTTACTACATTTAAATCATTAAACCAAAGGAAAAAATGGAAGGTACCATTTTTTTCACTTCACTTGCTAAAAATGAGTAAAATTCTAGAAATGGAAGTTCTTGAATTAAAAAAAACCAAAAACCACCACCAAAAACCAAACCACACCCCCAAGTCTTCAAATATTTATTTTGTTTGCTGTATTGTTACCACCTGGGGAGTGAGATAGCATGATTTATTTGGAACTGCTTTGGTTTCAACTACCTTCCCTAGGGTGTTCTTTGATAATCATCTGCTCCTAGTACAGGAAGCAACTATGCTACCACAGTTCATGCTAACCCGTTCTGACGTACCTAGCTGCATCTTTTCATACACAGAATTCCTTTAATTACTTATCATTAAAAATTGACTGCGTATGAATATTCAAGTACCATTCTGCTGTTCTGAATGATTCTGAAAGCTTAAAAGATCTAGCAACATAAAAGTCTCCAGTTTCACTTCCAAGTGGTTTATTTTCTCTAGAAGAATCATAGCATGGATTGGTTTTCAGAGTAAAATACTCAAAAAGTGATCTGGACTAAGTCTTAATGGACAATTTGGACACAGCTTTTATTTCTGACATTAGGAAATAAAATTTCATTTATGGCATGCTTCAGAAATTCTTATTTACCTAATAACAACATAAAACATTGGAAGACAGAGATTGGAAAGAACAGATCAATTAGCTTATACACTACGTTCTGCATACTAACTCATACTTGATTTTCTTCATTAGTTATGGCTGGCTAACCATGTCAGGCTGCTCCCATACATGCTGAGCGTTATGTACAAGCAAAGTGATCCAGCTGTTGCTCCCAGTTCACTATCAACATTTGAACAATCAGACTGCTTTAAAAAAATAAAATCTGAAAACGGTAACTTACATGGCTGCAGATCAGATTATTTCTGCTGGAAAAAGTACATACATTTATCCTGTTTCGCTTACGGTAAATTTTGTGTTTCTATATAACCTGTGTGACTCTACACATGTAACAAGTGTATCAATACATACACCCACATAGAACGATATTCAAGCATCTGGTTCTGCACCTGTAAAAGTTGTGATGCATAAATTAAGTGCTGTTTTTATTACTGCACCTTTAGAGTCATCTTGCACATTGGGAAACACTTTAGCACAATTCAAGGGATAAAGTAATTACATTACATGTTCTCATTTTGCTTCATTACTACTGTTGATTTTTATTGATGGTGATAAATGCATTTAGTTTTCAGTAAGAGTTACTACTTCCATTATTTCTAACAATATTTCAGGGTTGAAAAAGTGCAATTTCTAGGGCCACGAAAATAACCCAAGTAATAGAAAACAAGTTCTTAAGACACAAAGACCAAGAGAGTCAACAGCAAAGATGCTCAATTAGATCACAGTTCACACCTGAAATGGAAGACTGTTCTACCTCTTTGTGAAAGTACATGATCTTTTATACCAGATAAAACCATTCTGGGAAGTTACATAATATTTGAATAATACTCCAAAGTAAAAAACATATCCTGTTCACTCAAAAATTAAATTCTTTAAAAGAAGGTCTAACATGAGTTCACCATGGCTCTACATGGAAAATTCTGTTTCCTCAACAATAAAGATACTGAAATTTCAGCTTTATGCAGGTAAACAAGCTGTGATTAAAAAGACACACAGACACCTTCCCCCAAAACAGTGGCCTTCAAATTTTATTCTTTAGCCTTTTTCAAGATGTCATTGTAACTTCACATGTTGTACACTATTTTGTGTACAAAGATTCCATGTATCAAGGGAAAGAATTACCTATAATGATTCCATGTATTACAATATTAGGACCGTTGCACTTGCACCGATGATATTTTAAAAAATCTCTCTGACAAACCATGTAGAAATAAGTATGCAAAAACTGCAAACAAAAACATTTAAGTAGCCAAAATTAAAAAGACCTTTGTGTGAATCACACAGTCTTGCTTGGTTTCTACTAGGCTATTGCAGCCAAGTAGTCCTTAACCTCAGTTGGAGTAAGCCTCCTAAAACCAGCTTCGTTACAGATGCCAACTTCAATGTTGTCTTCTGTCATTTGCCCTTCAAAGCTCTCCTATTAAAGAAAATACAATTCAGTGAATCATATCAATGATGTCATAACAGTAAGAAACTTACTTCTTAAATATTTTGCTAACCTTTAGTGTTAAGATAGCAGTATGAATGGCATCTTCAAGCTCCAAATCTTCGTTGTATCTGTAAACAGAAGTTCACATATTGTGTCATGGGACAAAGATCTTTCCAAATCTTAATAATCCTAGTCTCTAAAATCCCAAATGCTACTAAAATCTTCCTATTTCTCATACAAACATTATTTGTCAGCACTGTGATATTAGTAATCAAAATTTATTGCTATTAAAAAAAATAGGATTTACTACTTTCCCTACTGACACCATATAGAACAATATTTCTGCCAATAGGTTGAATGTAATGTTTATTGCACTGAAATTATTCTCC